ATTTTCAAAATATTCAGCAGCATTATCTGACCAGAATTGCTTAATCTTCTTATCAAACTTTGTTTCAATCATCTTGCAAAAAGCCATAGTTATCCGTGGTACTTCATCCCGTCCTTTTAACAGATAGATCAATGTGCATCGAGAATAGTGGTCAATAAAACTGATAAAGTAACGGAAGCCATCAATGGAAACAATGGGTGAAGGGCCCCAAACATCAGAATGAACCAAATCAAAAAGAACTCGAATTTCATTACTGGAAATTGGATAAACAGTTATACATTGTTTTGACATTTGACATACTTCACAAATTAAACTCTGACTTGAAACACCCTTAAACAATTCAGGAAACAACATTTCTAATAAGAGAAAGACAAATGACCTAGCCTAGCATGCCACAGATGCAACCTAGCTATTGACTCCACACTCTCCGGACTACTAGCAGCAGATGCTTGTAAGGCTGAACCGATATCTGCATCAAAATAGTAGAGGCCTCCATACTCATGACCGCTCCCAATCGTTCTCCTCGTCAATCTGTCCTAAATGACACAATAAGTAGGAAAAAATGTTATACTGTAGTTCAAATTTTTTGTAAGTTTTGAAACAAACAAAAGATTTGAGGTAAGACTGGGAACATGTAGAACTGATTTAAGAGAGAGGTCATTGCTTAGGTCAACCACCCCCTTTCCAGAGGTGGTGGAGAAAGACCCGTCAACAACTCTCATCTTATCCTGACCAGACAACAAATGATATAAAGAGAATAAGAAGGACATATGTGTCATGTGGTTAGTTGCACCAGAATCAATAACCCAAGAAGTAGAGTCAATAGAGCTAGTTGCACTAAAGGCAGAGACTGTACCTGATCTAGCAAGAGAGGTGGAAGCAAAAGAATTATTCCTTAGACGGGCTAATGCCCGGCTAAGGACCTCTACCACACTAGCAGTGAAGCCCAAAGCACCAGCTCCAAAGGAATCAGCAACCTGCCCCATAGGAGAAGACATTGTTGGTATATTCTGCGAGTTGTCACCATTGTTGTTGGTGACAAGATTCCCACTTGTCGCATGACCTTTCTGTTGTTTATTGTCCTTTCTCAATGCAGCTGGATTCAGGTGATGATACAGGACCCAACACTTTTCTTTTACATGTCTCTCACCACCACAATGAGTGCACTTAAGGTGCTTCTTGTCTGGATGTCTGTTTCCCTTAGTGGAGACCAGGGCTGAATGTTCTCCAAATTGTTCAGTTGGTTGAGTCTAAGAATCAACTTGCATCTCCTTTCTCCTGACTTCTTCGTTCCTCACTAGATAATACACATGGTGTAACTCGGGATATTCATCTCTACCTAGAATTTGTGACTTTATACCCTCATACACTGGGTCCAGGCCAGCCAAGAACTTAAAGGCTTTGCTCTCTTCAATCTGCTTGTCATGTCTCTCCTTGTCCCTGGCATTTTCCCAATCCAATATCAAGTGATGGTCAAGCTCTTCCCAAAGACCTTCCAGGGTTGCAAAGTATGTTGCAACTGTCTATCCCCTTGCCCTAAGGCCGCAATGTCTTGATTCAATCTGTAGATTCTAGCATTGTTTTTCTTCTGTCCATAGGTCTTAGATACATTTTCCCAAATCTTGGCTGCTGTAGGAAAGTGATGAACAGTCCTGGCAACCTGAGGAGTCATAGAGGCAAGCAACCAGGACATAACTGTGGCATTCTCCTTGCGCCACATAGCATACTCAGCACTGCCAACCTCAAGTTCCTTCTTGTTCCCATCTAAGTAGCCTGTGAGATCACGGGAAGTAATAAAAAGCATTGCAGACACAGACCACTCCTTGAAGTTGTACTCATCCAGCAGCACACTTGTAATCTGCAAGCTGTGCAGATTAGGGTTTTCCAGATTTGAAGACCTTGCAGCAGGTCTGTTGTCCCTAGAAGAAACCTCTCCGGATACTGAAGACATCTTGATTGCAGCCTCTGTGTAGATGGCACTGTTTAAGACTAGCTGAAGTGATCACAGTGCTGAAAGAGAGACTAGTTGCAGAGTTGAAGAAGGTTCTGACAGCTCGCAACACTATTTCAGACTTGCCGAGACTGTCACAGCTCTGAAGCAGTTCGGTTACAGCAGCAAATGAGGTGTTCTGGACTGGTAACCGACCTAAAACTAAGGGCTCTCCACCACTGTGCTATGCAGACTTCACTTGAGCTTCGAGTACTGCAACTGTAAAGAGAGTTCTCCTAACTGTGCTATGCAGACCTCACTTGAGCTTCGAGTACTGCAACTGTAAAGAGTGTTCTCCCACTTACGGCTACTGTTAGGACTGCTGAAATCAGTCCTCAACTAGGTCTGTCCTGTACAGACCTCTCTTAGTAGCCGAATAGCTACTATCTACTAGAAACAGTCTAGCAGGACATCTGCATCTGGGTCTTACTTCCCTTGTGCCCTACAACCAAGAGAAACCCAAGGTTCAAACCTTGTTTTGTTCTCCTAAAACCCCAGGGTTTCACAGCAGCAACCCAGAAAGGAAAAAAAAGAAAAGAAAGACAACAAGAGAGAAGAGATGGCGTCAGTTGTAACCAGGATGGTGCTTAATGCTCTGATACCATGAAGGCTGAAGTGTTGTAGCTGAAGCAGTAGAAGAGAGGAGAAGACCAAGAGATGCTGAGAATGTCGAACTGTACTAACCCAGTCGACAGTACTATTATTTATATTAAAGTACAGTACAATGTTACATGAAATGACTGGGATGCCCCTGATTAGTGATGGGACACCTAGACAACTTAAAACACTAAACAGACTTAGGCCCATTAACACAGGCCCAGTACATAACAACTTAAACTCAAATACAGGCTAATAAGAACTCTTAACAGCCGAACCATCAATACATACAAAACCTTCAACCTAACATTCTGCAAAAAAATCTTACAATTTTTGTTTGAATCCTACAATTTGATTCATAAATCATATGATTTATACGATTCATTGTGATTCAAATTAATTAAATTAAAAATTAGTTTTTTAAGGTAAGGTAAATTTATTAAAACATCAAAGATTACAGAGGGGCTCCAAAAACGGAGCAAGATTACAGAGAACAAACCCCAAAACTAAATTACAACTCAAACAAATTTCTAGACCTCAGCTTGTGCTCCAAGAGCCCTAGACTGGAGCCCTTCCGCAGCTGCAGTCCAAGACACTAATTTCCCCACACTGCAAGAAAAGACTGTCTACATCCTTAGAGTTGTTTTGAAAATTCTTCTGTTTCTTTCTAGCCAGATGGTGCTGAATACTGCTGTAGGAATAGCCAACCACACACTTTTTGCCAACTTGGAGAGGCCTTGAAGCTCCCAGCTTCTTAACAGATCCATCACTTTACTCAGCATGACCCAGGAAAGGCCCACTGAAGAAAGGAAATGACCCCACAAGGCTGTTGAAACAGGACAATGGATAAAGAGAGATGGTTGTTGTCCTCTTCCTTTTGACAACAAAGCACACAACCCAAATTTTGAATTTGCATTCCCCTTCTAACCAGATTCTGCTTAGTGAGGTTTCTATCCAAGGCCACAGCCCAAAATAGAGAATTTATTTTACAAGGGGGAAACTGGCTCCAAATTTTATCAGCCGGGAAATTCTCATTATTCCCCCCTGATAACTTTTTGGCAAAAGAGTTCACTAAGAATAAACCATCTGCAGAGCACTTCCAAACCCAGAAGTCTTCTTCCAACAAGCTTAAGGCCCAATTTGAAAGCAGATCAAACAAATCCACCACTTCATCCACTTCCCAATCTTGAAAAGCCCTTCTGAAAGCAGGATTCCAGGAAATAACATTTTTCTCTCAGCTCATAGCAGTCAGCAATCATTACCTCTTGATTCTCTGCAATCTGGTAAAGCTGTGGGAACAGCTCTTCTAAAGATCTGTTATTACACCATTTATCTTTCGAGAATTTCAGACGATTACCAGAACCCAGTTTAAGAGATAGTTCACTATTTAGAAGATGAAAGATTTTCATGATTTTCTTCCAAAGAGAACATCCCAGAGAAGGGAGGTTATAAATGGTTAGCCAGTCCCCACTGTCAGTTTCATACTTGGCTGCTAAAATTTTCCTCCACCAGCTGTCTCTTTCTTTACCAAATCTCCATATCCATTTCCCTAAAAGGGTCCTGTTAAAAGTTTTCAGCTTCCTCACCCCCAATCCTCCTTTTTCTTTTGGAGTGCACACCTGATCCCAGTTTACTAGATGGATTTTCTTCTTCTCCTCCCAACCTTTCCACAGAAAATCCCTCTGGAGCCTTTCTAAACTTTGAGCCACTTTTATTGGGATTGAGAATAAAGAAAGGAAATAGGATGGTATGTTGGATAGGGATCTCTTTAGAAGAGTAATTCTACCCCCCAAAGACAGGTATTTAGTTTTCCAAGAGGCTAATTTTCTTTCCAACCTCTCCACCATCGGGTCCCATACCGTGGAGGAAGTGCACTTAGCCCCCAAAGGGAGGCCAAGGTACATAGTGGGCAGAAAGCCAGTCTGACAGGCAAGAACTTCTGCTAGAGATTCAAGATTCTCAATCCTCCCAACTGGGATTACTCTACTCTTTGACCAATTTACTCTCAATCCCGACACAACTTCAAACCAGCTCAGCACCCCTTGCAAAGGGTGTCATCAGAAAATTGAAGCATTTGAATCTTTTCCCTCCCGGAATTGACTCAAACAAAGGGTGTCATCAGAAAATTGAAGCATTGAAAGGTACAAGGCCAGACTTGTGGCAAAGTGTATGTATATGCACTTTTGTCTTTCATTGAAGAAATGATATCTGGATTGATTTTATCATAGCCAATTGTCTGATCTGGATACTCCTTTTGCAAGAATTAAATAGGTAATCAAATGTTGTTGTCGTAAGCTTCATTCCTACTAGCAATCTTTTGACACTCTTGGAGAAAGAAATTAGCATTTTGTCAAATATATCAACGCATAGAACCGAGATGTCTGCATAATTAAAGAAAAAGAGTTCAACCCACCAGGAGTTATAGTTGCACATTTCACAGCTACATTGTACCTGTAATGCATGAGTTGTTAGTATAATCTGAAGAACAAACAAGACAAATCAATCAGCAGGAACTAACAGTTTCTTGACTGAAAATCGGAAGCTAAGGATTTCAACCACAGAACTTAACTCACAGGTGAAATTATTAATATAAGAAAATACAAGTTATCAGACTTTCTCTAAGAAATTGATAGATCTCGTTAAGTTTCTGAAAAGCTTCTCTTTGTTGAAATTGAGCATGGTATGGATTCAAAGACCATGCAAGGTCGGGATCCAAAAGGTAAATAAGTCAGAAATGAACAACAGAGACCTCTGAAAAGGACAATATTTCCCACCATACCAAGATTCGTCTGAGTACATAACAAAATGTATGTATTCACACATAAACATTTATGGCCATCAGTGGAACCTCATCCTGGAAAATCGCCCTTATTCTACCGGTCCTCCATAAGTGGACCCACCTGAGCTTAAAAGTGATCAATTAGGTCCATTTTATTTATCGATAGTAATCCCATTCCCAAGCGCCAGTGTTTGTACTTTGCAGACCATCGAGCACTAATAGTAACAGCGACATTCAGTTATAACGATAACCAGTTTTGACTTCTGAGCAAGCCAAACAACGAATTATAAACTAAAGATTGAATACAGAAAAAACATGCGACATTACGAGAGCAACGAACAAGAAGTAAAATATTTCCTTTGTCCTTTCATTTTTCCTTATCAAACACTTAACAAATAAAACTTAAACGGATTACTTCCCACTAGATACAATGGCACTTACTTGAGAGTAGCTTCCGCACTTTCTACAGTGACCTTGTCATCAGTTGCATCGCGATTCAATATCCCTAAATCGTAGTACTTTATATCTAAATCCAAATACGGATAAATAAGCTGCAATTTATAAAACCAAAGAACAAACATTAAGAAATAGAAATGAATAAAACGTCGAATAACATATTGAAATCAAAGTAAGTCCATCAAGTTCTATTCTATTTTCTTCGTTTACCTTGTCCTTTATCATTCTCCATATGATTCTTGTCATTTCATCGCCTGAAAAGGAGGGGAGAGGACAGGAAAAAATAATTAATTAAGCAATAGCTTGAGCAAAGACTTCGACCAACTTTCATGGTTTGTGGGCATACCGTCCATTTCCACGATAGGATTCAGAACTTTGATCCTTTCAACGTGGGACGCGGATGCGAAGCAACGAAGAGATGTGTTGCTGCTGTGATTGGAGAATCTTTTACCGTGGGTTCTTAGAGGAACTCCATCAGAGGTTATCGAATTCGCGGAAGCACATAAGCTAGGGCTTTTTAGGGCTGAGGAAGACGCAGAAAAGAAGGCAGCGCCAGACATGGCGCTCAAGCGAAGCCCCTGCATATTCCCCACTTCTTCAGAGTTCAGATGTCGCTGGAAAGTGGCGTCGTACGGTCGTAGTTCTTCGTGTTCGACTTTCAGAACTCTTTTTCGGAGTTTCAGTAATTAGCTAATGAGGTGCTGCCTCAGTGGGCTCAAAAATCAACTACTCCCGATGGAGTAGCGCTTCAGAGAGTAAATCTGACCCGTTTGATATGTATCTTGAGTAATCAGCAGAAAGGTTTGGATCTGCTACCCGCAACTTGTTCCCACTACCCTACCCACTAGATCATAACAGCTGCGCAAATCAAAGTTTTTAAAACCGGACCGGTTTTGGGATTGAATGGTCCGACCATCCGATTTGAATGCTCAGCCCGTTCTGACTTTAAAAATAAAAAATACCAAAAACCATTATCTGAATCAACAGTTCAACTATTCAAATTAGTGGATTGCTAATCAAATCAATGAATTTTAGCCAAAAAAGCAATTTTAGAGTGAAACGGAACCTACTACCTGATTGGTTCTCAGACTTTTCAATCCAAYCATCCGATTCAGTCTGATTTTAAAAACCATGGCACAAATACATGGCGATGGTGTTCAGTGGGTAGAGATGTGGGAACATTATGTGAGTAGTAGATCCAGAGAAGACTAATTAACCAACTTTGAAGGGGCCGTCAAACTCTCTCTATGCTCCATACTATTTATGATTAGGCTGGAGGATTAGCTGATCACAATACCTTCTTTTTTTATTTTGAGAGGAAAAAGTTTGGTCAATGTAAACCAAAATAGTCATTTTCTTTTTTTTAATTATGTAAGGTCTATGAAAATTTTATATTCCCAGGTATTAGTTATCCAATGGATAATTAACTTTCCCATATTGATAAATTATCCTCACCACCCACATAAATAGAATGACTTTCGTTGACAATCCAGTCAACTCTTTGATTGCCCTCCCTTCATGTATAAGAATAGCCGATGTGAAGCTGGTTCTCTTCACTGATATAAGGGCGGTATCTGATGTCTCTACCCCCTCCAATGCTGCCCACTCAGCACACTGCCACTAGATTTGTTCATGGGTCGGCCCGGTCCCCGAATAGGCTTGAGCAGGCATTTTAGCCTGCAGGCTTGACCTTAAGCCTAAAAATCCGAGCCCGACTACTTTACGGGTTGGGCCCGGGGTTTGTTAAAAAAGTCAAACCCGACCTGACTTTTGTATAAGTTAAACCCTAAATATCTTAACCAGCTAACCCCTTTTTTATCACTCGTCTCTTTCTCTTAGCCGAGCGAACTCACTTATCACAGTCACAGCTTCACACAACCTAACACTCTCAAGAAGACTAAACCAATGCAATTAGTGAACTCCGACGGGTGATTGGTGAGCCCTCCTCCCCATACTCTCTCTCTCTCTCTCTCTCTCTTCATTGTTCGGTTGTTCATCTTCTCACTCTCAGAATCTCAGCTCAACTCATTTATTAGACGCGAACTCAGGCACTGGTGAACACAGGCACCAGCGATAAGTCATTTCTCTTTGCCCTTTTGTTATATTCCTCTCTTATTATTTGCTCATCGGCAAACACAGACACTGACATAGGCACCGACCTATCTTTTTGTTAGATTGAGCTTCAAGCTTTTTATTAGGGCCGGGCTTGGGCCCAAGTTGTAGGCCCGTTAGTCAAGTCAGGCTCAGGCCTAACAAAATCCTGTTTATAAAGAATAAAGACCCGGCCCAGCCCGACCCATGAACAGATCTATCTTCCACATTAATAGAAGTGATTCCTATTTGCCCTTCTTTTACTCTCACATTCCAATTTGAACAATATCTAGCTATGCATCCAAACGAGCAAAATCCATTTGGAAAGCGTGAAGCGTGAAGCATCAAAATTTACCTTCAAAGCTCCCACCCTTGGATTTAACCCGCTTTTGCTCATTGGCCTTGCCCTCCTTCCCTAATCTCTACCATGGCATTGGCTATTTGATACTCAAATAGGGCATTTGCCGCCAGTTCAACTATCTTTGTAGGCCTCCCCTTCTTTTGGTAAATCTCAGCCTCTTTAAATAGTATATACAATTCGTAGCAATTCAAAGCAGCTGAGCTGAATCTTCAACTCCACCTTCTGAGATGGATCTTTAAGAAACTGACCATTTCAATTGTGGTGCATTCATATCAAATTTTCTTGTGATAATTAATCACCTTCCAGTGATTAATTAATTTTTTTCTTGTGCTTTCAAATTGGTTAATTAAAATGAACTGTGTAGCGCCCTAAAAATTAATCACAGCGAAAAAGCAATATCTTCTAACGTAAAGAATGAGATGATGGAGACCTGGTCCTGGTGGGATTTAATAAGGGACAGATAAACTACAGTCTACAGGATAACAGGACTACAGACTGATCACCCGCAAATCTGCAGTACTATTTATATGGCATTTACTCCGTGGAGTTGATGTTTACATTATTGAAGCCTATCAAATCAAATCAACGGGATTTGGTTGGTATGGGCCGAATCACTCCATGTGCCTGAAGAGCTCTCCATCATGGGCATAGAATGAACTTATATATCTTCCACCTCATTGACATTGAAAGGGATCTCTCTCTAATCACACACACTATTGAAGGCTGCCTTTTCTCTTTTTTATTTCCTTTGTTGGGTAGAAATTTGTTGACACATTTGGTGGAAGTTTACCGTCTTCGTCTACCAAGGAGGATGTAATCAGGGATGCAAACGGATTGGGTCAGATTAGGATCGGGATATATTCAAATATGATACAATATTGTTCATGTTGGATCCGATCCGAATTAGACTTGAATTGGAATCTTTTCGGTAAGTCAGATATGATCCAATCTGACTTATTTTCTTTAAAAATTAATAAATTATTAAAAAATATATATATTAATTTAAATAAAATAAAAATAACAAATATAAGTACTTTTAATTAATTTCATCACATATACATGTTTTTTATAAAAACAAATAATATAACAATTTTATAAATAAATAATATATGTATATTATATTTATAAATACAATGGGTAATCCGAATCCGATCCAATCTAATCCAATCCAATAGAGATGATCGGAATTCGATCGGATTGGGTCATGCATTTGCACCCCTACATGACTTGTAATTTTGTTGGTGACCGTTTGATCCTATGAATCAACAATCAAAAGTCGTGGCCCCCGTGGATGAAGGTTAAGTTCGCCATTCACATTATTACCGGAAGTGAAAGACCTAAAATAATGATGCCATTTGTCTTGTTTTAGCGATGTATTATTGTATTAAAGTTGAGAGTAATCTTATATATGTTTATGACCTTAATAAGGCGGAGGCCATCAACAACACCAAGTGACAAATTAAAAAGCATCATGATCATGTGCTGTTTCAGACATGGAATAATATACAAGATGACACACAGAGCTGAAGTGCTATGTTCTAGACTTCTAGCTTTTAGAGGCCTACGGAATCGAGTGTATTTAATTATGTARWWGGGCCTTTCTTTCTTGTCGCCCTTGTACCAGGAACTATTTTTTTTTATGGGCTTGGCAGAATTCATTTTCCAAACAATTCGACATACAACTACTTATTGGATATACGAAGCTTCATCTTCGAAGGATGGGGATGGGACCCACGTTCTCCGATTGGTGAGGCTAACGGTCCAAACACTAACGATCATAATTCAGCCATGCCTTCGCACTGTAGTCTGTAGATCCTGATGCAGAGATTAAATATGACTCGCTTATTTTTTTTCTTTTTCTTGCAAAACAAATAGAAGTATTGGAGGCATGTTCAGATGGGTTCTCATCAGTCCAAACGGTCCCTAACATACAACATTGCATGTTTGTTACGTGGATATATTGCTGAAACCTCCTCTAAAGTTTCTATTTGTTGCTCAAACTTCTTTCAAAGTTTTAAAATTGTAATCATTTCCTCTGACACAATTACAAGTAGATTCCTCATTAAAATCTCCTAAAAAGAAGACATGAAAATGTTCAAAATATTCATGTAATTACTTTTGACCAAAATATTTATTTTTTCAAATTTTCTCTTCTTATGAATTGCTAGCTCAAACCATTCCAATCTTTTTTTTTTTTGAAATTGATTTATTTTCTAAATTTGCCCTTAATATCAATCACTCAAATTTAAATTCTCTACTTTTTTGTTGTTTATAAAGTTTATGTTGTTTTTTCAATAGTAATTGCATTAGTATTTTAGACATTTTTGTATCACTTTTTAGAAAATTTTAACAAAGGGTGTCATAATATTCGGGGGAGGTGATTACAATTACCAAACTTCAGAGGGAGGTTTCAATAATTTACCCTGAAGGTTAAGGTATTTTTCTACCTCACCATCGATAAGGCATTATATCTGAAAAAACTTTTAACCTTTTACCAAAATAAAAATAAAAAAGAAAATTCTTTAACCAATCAAAAAGCCCACCGTGATTTTGAAATTGATGTTCAATGGGTTGATTGTTTATGGATTTTTTAGGTATGATACTTTTAGATTTACCAAAAACAACGGACCGACTGATTGTTTATGGCTATATTTGTAAGAGGGGTGTGTAAAGCTGAGGTGAGGAGTGGTCTCTTTGAAAGATGAAATAACAACCGCAAGAGGAGAAGGACGAGGGTCTTAGGTCAGGGGTTGCACAATGGGGAGTTAGGGTGTACTCGAGAGTATTGGGTGACGAATGCTTGGGATCTGGTGAATTATAATGCAAGGAGAATCTCTATTTATGGAGGAGGCCCCGAGATCCTAAAAGGTAGGAGATGAGAATATTCGTTGCGTATTGGAGAAGTGGAATATTTGATTCGTTGTCAATTATTGGCGCTACTGGGGTATCGCCACGTGTCTCATGCATGCTACTACATTTTTCGCACGTTTTAACTAATCCTATGTGGCGACAGCGATGCCCTCGTTTGGCGGTTGGTGTTTCGTCAATTCCATGTGGCGGTCGACATAGTCCTTTGTTGTCATGGGTTTGTGTGTGCCAGGGCTCATGCGGGCCTCACCGTGGGCTCAGCCTACTGTTTTCTCAGACTCGTCATCTATAACGGGTTCGTGGGTTGCGAGTTAATTGCGTGTCATAGCAGGTGTGGCCTTCTCGCATACTCAGGTGTGCTTGGGTCTCTTGGCTGGGTCTTCTTGAGGTTTATTTAGGTTTGGGTATTGGCTGTACTCGATA